TGCACTGGTGATGTTTGAGTGCTCTAAGTACGGAGGGTGTACAAGTGATGTTTGAGTGCTGTGAGTACGGAGGGTGTACAGGTGATGTCTGACTGCTGTTAGTACGGAGGATGTACTGGTGATGTTTGAGTGCTGTAAGTACGGAGGGTGTACAAGTGATGTTTGAGTGCTGTAAGTACGGAGGGTGTACAAGTGATGTTTGACTGCTGTTAGTACGGAGGATGTACAGGTGATGTTTGACTGCTGTTAGTACGGAGGATGTACAAGTGATGTTTGAGTGCTGTAAGTACGGAGGTTGTACAAGTGATGTTTGAGTGCTGTTAGTACGGAGGATGTACAGGTGATGTTTGTGTGTTGTTAGTACGGAGGATGTACAGGTGAAGTTTGAGTCCTGTGAGTACGGAGGATGTACAGGTGATGTTTGAGTCCTGTAAGTACGGAGGATTTATAGGTGATGTTTGAGTGCTGTAAGTACGGAGGATGTACAGGTGATGTTTGAGTCCTGTAAGTACGGAGGATTGATAGGTTATGTTTGAGTGCTCTAAGTACGGAGGATGTACAGGTGATGTTTGAGTGCTGTAAGTACGGAGGATGTACAGGTGATGTTTGTGTGTTGTTAGTACGGAGGGTGTACAGGTGATGTTTGAGTCCTGTGAGTACGGAGGATGTACAGGTGATGTTTGAGTCCTGTAAGTACGGAGGATGTACAGGTGATGTTTGAGTGCTGTAAGTACGGAGGATGTACAAGTGATGTTTGAGTGCTGTTAGTACGGAGGATGTACAAGTGATGTTTGTGTGTTGTTAGTACGGAGGGTATACTGGTGATGTTTTGTGTGTTGTTAGTACGGAGGATGTACAGGTGATGTTTGAGTCCTGTAAGAACGGAGGATTTACAAGTGATGTTTGAGTGCTGTAAGTACGAAGGGTGTACAAGTGATGTTTGAGTCCTGTGAGTACTGAGGATGTACAGGTGATGTTTGAGTCCTGTAAGTACGGAGGATTTATAGGTGATGTTTGAGTGCTGTAAGTACGGAGGATGTACAGGTGATGTTTGAGTCCTGTAAGTACGGAGGATTGATAGGTTATGTTTGAGTGCTCTAAGTACGGAGGATGTACAGGTGATGTTTGAGTGCTGTAAGTACGGAGGATGTACAGGTGATGTTTGTGTGTTGTTAGTACGGAGGGTGTACTGGTGATGTTTGAGTGTTGTCAGTACGGAGGGTGTACAGGTAATGTACTGTAATCACTGAATATGCGCAGTAACTAGTGAGAATGTGCAGATGATGTTTGAGTACTTGATATTCCTTACAAATGTCGAAGGGAGGTTCAGATTCAAAAGGGATGTAGTCTGTGTCTAGCCCTATTGTATTATGAATGCTCACCACACGCAAACAACAAGCCCACGTTGTAACTATCACTGCATCCATATCAATGTCTCACAAATGGGATATCCGGTGAACATTGGTTTCTTGCTTTCTTTCTTTCTATACAGCTCAAACTCAAAACTCCGTTCCTATGAACTGGTCCAATACAAAAACCTTTACTTATCTAAACATCGCTGTGTGGGGAATTTTGATTATGTTATTTATATCATTCGCAAAAAATGAAGAGAGGACCGGAGAGTTGTCCACCGACGGGTCCGACTGCGAGCTCGAGGTATCACCGCGGGGACAGTACCAACGACGCAGGACATGCAGGGTCACTCGTACTCTACATCAGCCTTTCACGGGGACAGGGTCGGTTCGTTGAAACGTGCGGGAGAACTCTTGCACTTCGTACACTGAATACTGCACGTGTTACACTGTATATTGCACTTGGCACACTGTACACTGCACAGTATGGGCGTCCCCTCACACCCCTAGTCACCTACATACAGACAACATACAAAACAGTATGAGGTGTCCCCTCACACCCCTAGTCACCTACATACAGACAACATACAAAACAGTATGGGTGTCCCATCACACCCCTAGTCACCTACATACAGACAACATACAAAACAGTATGGGTGTCCCCTCACACCCCTAGTCACCTACATACAGACAACATAGAAAACAGTATGGGTGTCCCCTCACACCCCTAGTCACCTGCATACAGACAACATAGAAAACAGTACGAGGTTTCCTCATACCTCTAGTCACCTGCATACAGAAAACATACAAAACAGTATGAGGTGTCTCCTCACACCCCTAGTCACCTGCATACAGACAACATACAAAACAGTATGGGTGTCCCCTCACACCCCTAGTCACCTGCATACATCCGACATACAAAACAGTATGAGGGGTCCCCTCACACCCCTAGTCACCTGCATACAGACAACATACAAAACAGTATGGGTGTCCCCTCACACCCCTAGTCACCTACATACAGACAACATACAAAACAGTATGGGTGTCCCCTCACACCCCTAGTCACCTACATACAGACAACATACAAAACAGTATGAGGTGTCCCCTCACACCCCTAGTCACCTGCATACAGACAACATACAAAACAGTATGGGTGTCCCCTCACACCCCTAGTCACCTACATACAGACAACATACAAAACAGTACGAGGTGTCCCCTCACAACCCTAGTCACCTGCATACAGACAACATACAAAACAGTATGAGGTGTCCCCTCACACCCTAGTCACCTGCATACAGACAACATAGAAAACAGTATGAGGTGTCCCCTCACACCCCTAGTCACCTGCATACAGACAACATACAAAACAGTATGAGGTGTCCCCTCACACTCCTAGTCACCTGCATACAGACAACATACAAAACAGTATGGGCGTCCCCTCACACCCCTAGTCACCTGCATACAGACAACATAGAAAACAGTATGAGGTTTCCTCATACCTCTAGTCACCTACATACAGACAACATACCAAACAGTATGAGGGGTCCCCTCACACCCCTAGTCACCTACATACAGACAACATACAAAACAGTATGAGGTGTCCCCTCACACCCCTAGTCACCTGCATACAGACAACATACAAAACAGTATGAGGTGTCCCCTCACACCCCTAGTCACCTACATAAAAGACAACATAGTCAAAACAGTACAAAAGGTGTCCCCACAACCCTAGTCACCTGCATACAGACACAAAACAGTATGAGGTGTCCCCTCAGACTCCAGTCACCTGCATACAGACAACAAACAAAAACAGTATGAGGTGTCCCCTCACACCCCTAGTCACCTGCATACAGACAACATACAAAACAGTAGTATGAGGTGTCACCCCAGACACATACAAAACCCTAGTCACCTGCATACAGACAACATACAAAACAGTATGAGGTGTCCCCTCACACCCCTAGTCACCTGCATACAGACAACATACAAAACAGTATGAGGGTGTCCCTCACACCCCTAGTCACCTGCATACAGACAACATACAAAACAGTATGAGGTGTCCCCTCACACTAGTCACCTGCCTACAGACAACATCACCTGCTAGTCACCTGGATACAGACAACATACAAAACAGTATGGGTGTCCCCTCACACCCCTAGTCACCTGCATACAGACTGCAGTACAGACAGACAACATAGAAAACAGTATGAGGTTTCCTCATACCTCTAGTCACCTGCATACAGACAACATACCAAACAGTATGAGGGGTCCCCTCACACCCCTAGTCACCTGCATACAGAAAACATACAAAACAGTATGAGGTGTCCCCTCACACCCCTAGTCACCTGCATACAGACAACATACAAAACAGTATGAGGTGTCCCCTCACACCCCTAGTCACCTTGATACATACTTCACAGACTGGTGTGTGACGTAGCCACTTTGCTCGCTCTCGCACATGAAGACGCTGCAGACATGGTAATAAACGTGTCTGTCAAGTAGTTCAAGTAGGTAGTGTAGTTATTAGGGGGTAATCCCCTGGTTAGCCAACCCTTTCACGGGCATGACGACATTTGCATTCTGGGAAAGCCACGTTTTTCCGGCCTAAACAATTTCATAGACAACAAAGGTAGTAGCTATACAGTGTCCCCGATGGCAGACCTCTGCAGCTATTCTCAAGGATTCGATATGAGGCGTTTTGGTACACGTGACTTATGTAACTGCAGCTCTTCGTGGCCTCACACAACTCCGTGGACACGTGACTTAAAATAACTTGATATAATGAAATGGGAACGCGACACCTTGCACCGCTACCTTGCCGTAGTCCTCGAGAGATCGACATTCCCGGCACTCAGCATGTGCACCTGTACAACAACAATCAACGTCCCCTGTGTCGACACCAGCAGCTAGGAAGTCCTTCAATCCAGTACTGCAGACACATATAGGCCGCGCGTACAACCTCACAAGGGGTGCAAGGCTTGCGAGTAACAATTTTTATACTTCTTTGTACATCGAGTGTCAGTGTGCTTAGATCCGATTCGGTGAAAATAGGATAAAATGTGTGTTTTAACCTTACAATTTCTTGGGCACTCTTTTACAAAACGCAGCCTAGGTCAAGGTTTAAGTTCAGATTGAAGTTTGACAACGCAATCTCAGCTTGATCTTAACACGCTTTGCCTTACTTACAATGACAAGGACACACACACACACACATACGTACGGACACACACGCACGCACGCACGCACACGCACACACTATACGATTTAAGACGCACTTATACCATGTACGATTCAAATAAACATTTCCACTCTCCACACTAACAAACACTTCCACAGTGCAAGACTAACACACACACCTCCATTCTGTACCACGCTTGCGCACCCACACACACTTGTATCCTAGACGACCTGGACGAGGCATGCCACGATCATTCCGATTAAGCGAGCAAGAAGCTGTTATTTGCACGCAAGAAAAAGTAAAAGGCATTTTGCAAAGATTCTTCCTATCTTTAAATTCCAACCTACATTCAGTGTATCTGCGGTATCTGTGGTATAGGTCACCCGGGGCAGCCGGGTGTATGCAAGTGACAGTGTATATAAATAGATGTAGACGCCATTTGGATATAAATATATACATATATGCTTACACGATTGGCTGTCGACGCAGGTGAGGGCTCCAGGTAGACATCCAGGAGTTGCGGGCAGGTAACATAACAGACCTTGTTTTCAATCTCAAGTTACAAACAGCAGCAGCAGCAGCCACAGGTAAGTCTGATATACCTGACAGGTAACAATGGCGCAACTGTCATCAGTGCGCACGTTTACACATGGGAAAACAACGCTGTATACTAGGGGTTGACGTTAGTGTTACGTAACATCCACAAGTTATCTAGATTATTTAGGGAGAAAATAGGCGGGTTTCCAACATTTTGCGAGCCATTGTTTCAGCCAGGTACACCCCATAGTTACCTGAGAAAAGGGGGTCGGTAAGTAACAGAAGTACTGTAGTGAAAACAATTTAATTAATATTAACTGAATACCATTATTTTAGCACAATTGTGTTCCGTGTGTCTAAGATATCTCAAGTTCAGAGCCTCAGACCCCAGTCCTACAAGAACCCTCATATCGCCATGTAGATTCACGTGTCGCTTTGGCATCAAGCCAGTAGCGTTCGTGGAATCAATACACATTTGATATAAGCTGGAAACATATCAGTAGGTACATGTAATAGTTTGTACTTCAGTTCAACATATACTGGCATTTCAAATTTAATCATATATTGGAATTTTAACCATAAAAATATGTTGATACCTAGAACTATTATAAACACCTGATATCAGTGTAAAGACGAAATGTCAGTGTCTATTGTAAAGACGAAATATCAGTGTCTATTATAAACACGTGATATCATTTCTATTATAGACACGTGATAGCAGTGTCTGTTATAAACACAAGATATCAGTGTCTATTATAGACACGTGATAGCAGCATCTATTATAAACAGAAGATATCAGTGTCTGTTACAAACACGAGATATCAGTGTCTGTTACAAACACGAGATATCAGTGTCATTTACAAACACGAGATATCAGTGTCATTTACAAACACGAAATATCAGTGTCTGTTACAAACACGAGATATCAGTGTCATTTACAAACACGAGATATCAGTGTCATTTACAAACACGAGATATCAGTGTCTGTTACAAACACGAGATATCAGTGTCATTTACAAACACGAGATATCAGTGTCATTTACAAACACGAGATATCAAACACGAGATATCAATGTCATTTACAAACACGAGATATCAGTGTCATTTACAAACACGAGATATCAGTGTCTGTTACAAACACGAGATATCAGTGTCATTTACAAACACGAGATATCAGTGTCATTTACAAACAAGAGACATCTGTACCTCAAATATATCACATGTATACATAACTGATATGTACACATAAATAACTGATTGCAACTGGAAGGTACGAAGATAAGTGAATGTTCCATGGTGTGCAAGTGGAGTTAACATTAACACTGTAGAAAGTGAATGTAGATGTCCAGTTGTTCCAGCTACTGTAAGGAGATATGTTTATCAACACTGCAGTGTACATTACCACTGTCAGTATCGTGATGATGTCAGTCCCTGGGTTACCTGCTACCTGACCTACTAGACTTCAACCCGTACTTGATAAACACACTGGTACACTCACCCAACTCAGTCACCGCCCATGCGGTCGCTATGTATGCATATATACACGTGTATCAGGACAAACACCATCTAACACAAGCAGATCTAACAGTGTTTAACACGAACACTACACGGATCTTACCCACATACACACACTACACCAGACCTACCAGTAACACACATACACTACAACAGACATACCACTAACCCACATAAACACTACACCAGGCCTAACACTGACCCACATACACACACTACAACAGACCTATCACTAACCCACATACACTACAACAGACATACCACTAACCCACATAAACACTACACCACGCCTAACACTGACCCACATACACACACTACACCAGACCTACCACTGACCCACATAAACACTACAACAGGCCTACCACTAAACCACATACACACTACACCAGACCTACCACTAACCCACCTACACACTACACCAGGCCTAACACTGACCCACATACCCACTACACCAGACCTACCACTGACCCACATACACACACTACAACAGACCTACCACTGACCCACATACACACACTACAACAGACCTACCACTAACCCACATACACACACTACACCAGACCTACCACTGACCAACATACACACACTACACCAGACCTACCACTGACCCACCTACACTACACCAGGCCTACCACTGACCCACATACACACACTACACCAGACCTACCATTAACCCACCTACACTACACCAGGCCTACCACTAAGCCACACACACACTACAACAGACCGACCATTAAGACCTACCACTGACCAGGCCACCATACAAACACACACACTACACTAGACCTACCACTGACCCACACTACACCAGACCTACCACTGACCCACCTACACTACACCAGGCCTACCACTGACCCACACACATACACACTACACCAGACCTACCACTGACCCACATACCCACTACACCAGACCTACCACTAACCCATCTACACTACACCAGGCCTACCACTGACCCACATACCCACTACACCAGACCTACCACTGACCCACATACACACACTACACCAGACCTACCACTAACCCACCTACACACTACACCAGGCCTACCACTGACCCCCCCCACACACACACACTACACCAGACCTACCACTGACCCACCTACACACACTACACCAGGCCTACCACTGACCCACATACACACACACTACACCAGACCTACCAGTAACCCACATATACACACACACTACACCAGACCTACCAGTATCGCACTAACACACACACACACTACACCAGACTTACCAGTAACCCCCCCACACATGCACACACTACACCAGACCTACCTGTAACCCACTAACACACACACACACACACACACACTACACCAGACCTACCAGTAACTCACATACACACACACACACACACACACCACCAGACCTACCAGTAACCCACACATACATACACACACTACACCAGACCTACCAGTAACACACACACACACACTACACCAGACCTACCAGTAACACACACATACATACACACACTACACCAGACCTACCCGTAACCCACATACACACACTACACCAGAACTACCACTAACATACATACACACTACACTAGTAACACACATAAACACTACACCAGACCTACCACTGACCCACATATACACACACACACTACACCAGAGCTACCAGTATCGCACTAACACACACACACACTACACCAGACTTACCAGTAACCCCCCCACACATGCACACACTACACCAGACCTACCTGTAACCCACTAACACACACACCCACACACACTACACCAGACCTACCAGTAACTCACATACACACACACACACACACACACACTACACCAGACCTACCAGTAACCCACACATACATACACACACTACACCAGACCTACCAGTAACACACACACACACACTACACCAGACCTACCAGTAACACACACATACATACACACACTACACCAGACCTACCCGTAACCCACATACACACACTACACCAGAACTACCACTAACATACATACACACTACACTAGTAACACACATACACACATACACACTACACCAGACCTACCACAAACCCACGTACACCCAGCACCGGGGTGAGAGGAAGACCTCATAGCCCCTATATAGTAATACAGTAACTTCAATAAACAGACATTGTAAAGAAATCCCTTCATGAGTCACCGAACTTGTAAGAGTATTGAGTGGGTAACAAATATTTAAAGTGGTTGTGGTAAAACCGGAGCTGGGCCTATTATGCACGTTCCATTTGAATGGGTCTCCATGCCCCTATGTTCAGCCCAAGCATATATGTTATCTGAAAAGCTAAATTTGCTGCTGATAATAGTTGACCCACCAACGTTCACATACGACCAAACTGAAATCGGTTCACCAGATGTCGACGATAACAATTTGCACTGAAGTATTTACATATCATTCAAAACAGGGATATTTCTAATGTACCAAAAGATTGTTTTATATGTCATGGATTCCCATATAGTGACTTTCAGTGGAGAGTTCACAGTTCTGTATCACTCTCTAATACTGTATGCTATGTCGGTAACACGAGATGTTAAGCGTTAACCGCCACTTGAGGCCAAAGACAGTTTACACAGTAGGTATTTATACAACTGTAGGGTGACTTGGCATTATTCAAATTCGTGTGCATAATAACCAGGTCATTACAGCCCTTCTATGTTTTATTGTAACTCCAAGTTTGTATGAATGTGTTACTTCATCCCTTCTGTACATATTCATGTGAAGGACGAGGCTGCTAATCATGCCATCATGTCAGAGTTCAGTTGATGATAAGATATGTGTGTAAAGTCGTATACATATGACGTATTAACGCGCCACTATCTATATAGGACATCAGACATCAGAACAATACACAGTCAAGACATGTCAATGAACAGGAAAGACGTATGACGGCTGGCGTTATAAAAACCTATCTTGAAGTAGTGTACCCGTGTAGGTAACAGAACACCATGTAGGAACACCGTATATCCTGATGTCCAGAATAGCTCTACCGGTAAACGCTATACATGATACACCAGGAAGATTTTTTTCTATAGATGAATCAAAAGGACTTCTTGGAGTCAGAAATCCCCAGTACTTCAGTCATGAACGGAAAACCTCAACGGCTCTGTCGACTCGCTCGTGACACTAGCATTTCTTCTGACACCTCAACAGCATCAGATATGTCAACGGTTTCTACAAGCGACTCTGAAGCCCCACTTGTTTATACTAGTGGAGGTAACTACTACCAGAAGCCTCAAAAATCAGAGAACAGGGGACTGATACTGGTAGTTGCCATGTGTATGTTTGTGAGTGTGGGGGCCCTCTGTTTGAGTCTGCTCCTGTACACGGGCACACTGCAGCCCCACCCCCACCCAACAGCACCACAACAGGCCGTGTGTCTCCCCTGCATGGACATCCTGACTACGCCCTTCCCCGAGCAGGATGACAACATTCACCTGCTGGACAGACACTTCGAGAACCGGACGATGATCTGCTGTGCCAAAACACCCAAACAGTTTTCAATAATGTTTGATAAGGTGAGCTGTGACTTTTGAATCCTAACTTCTCCATATGGCTAAGACAATCCCAGAAAGGTTGCTCTTTAAAGATAGTCAGATACAATTTCAGAAAACACTAGTTACAACGTGTGTCTAGACAATAACACCAAAAGCATTTGTCTTATGGTTGCAGCTTGTGGACCGCAAGGTGAAGCAGAAAGAAGTCATAGGTAAGTTCGGCTAACGTGACGTGAACACGGAAAGTATATTTTGTACAATATATTCAATATCAGCTTTGTTCTAGTGGGGTTCAACTGTGTGAATGTTGACCCCAGAGAATGATAATGCGTGTTTAGTTAGTTATCCCTTATACCGAAAGATGTTATCAACCAACTTTGTTTTTGCCAGCGTCCCTTCAGCAGGAGTCTAGACAGCAGGTGGCAGCACCTAAGTCAACTACAAGAGTGGGCGCCCATCTGCTAGCTGGACTTCAGAAGACAGGTTGGTGCCAAACTTAACATAAACCTGACTGCTGGTAACACAGAAAACAACAGATTACAGAAATGTCTCGCGAAAACAGGTAACAAGACGCTCCCAGTAGAAACTACGTGACACTTAAACAATGTTCGTCTTATTTTTGTTGTTGTAGAGTCCAAAGAGACCCAGGTGCGGTCCTGGCTGACCAACCACCCTCTTTCCTTCATGCAGGGCCTCCATCTGCACGCTGACCGCCTCGTGGTGGAACACAGCGGACTGTACCTTGTCTACAGCCAGGTATACTTCAAGGTGAACATGGACGAGCCCTCCACCCGGTCCCACCCCCCGAGTCTGCTGGGGCATCTGGTGCACCGTTACAGCGTCACCATCCCGAATGGAGGTCGGGAGGAGTTGCTACAAGCGGCACACTCGTGCTGTGGGAACGGCAGTGACAGCCTCTTCCTCCATACCAGCCACGTGATGGGTGTGTTCCAGCTGAGCAGAAGGGACGAGATCTACGTGACCGTGTCTCGCCCAGGCCTCATCTACCGCGACCCAACACGCAGTTTCCTCGGTGTGTTCAAGTTGAACTGATTCTACTCTTGGAGCATCCCTCTGGATACACACCTACAGCAGGTATCACCGCCAGGTATCATTTAACACGCTGTATAGAGGGGCAGGTTCACACAGCACTGGTGTTACGGTGTTTAGTCTCTGCGTGGAGGTGTGGACAGCGAGTGACCCTCACTCAATATAACTATTACTTTATATAGCGGCAACACAGAACATTTAATGGCGTGTCTGGACGCTTTGTGATTAGCCTGCTCCTAGAAACACAACTACCATTGTGCCAAAACTAAAATCACTTGTACATACCCATTTACTGAAGCTCAAATCATCCCCTTACAAGTGTCCCCCAAACTGATGATCCTTTAGGTGACTAGCTATAGCTCCGTGTACAGTGAGTACATGGATGCTCTAGTACTGGCCCGGGGCGTCCTGGTGCACCAAGAGACAGAGACAGCATGTCATGACGTTGTGATAGCCATTGCTACATCAGACCAGAGACCATATAATAGACTGATCAGACCACTGCAACAATGCAGGCTATACACGAATGACCAAGGCGATTGAAAGGAAGTGAACTCTCCCAGGAGTATGTCTCTACAGATTCGTTAGCGAACTGGCTTCAAGGCCTCCTCTTGTATATCATGATTGTTTATCTCCAGACTACTTGTGTGCTGGGTGGGACGTTCATATGTTTACAATAATCAAGGTGACGCCAAATGGCAATAGCGAAGCTCAGTGCTGTGATATTTTTCAAATGTCTAAGCTAGACAGACATACATACGTTCATTCATTTATTCATTCTCACATGAGGTCCTAACACACAGATACAAGCATACACACACAGACAGACAGACACACCCTAACACACAGACAGACAGACACACCACAACACACAGACAAACAAACCCTACAACACAGACACACACGCAGATAGACGGACAGATGGGCATAGAGACAGGCACACACACCGACACAGGCACACATACAGTCAGACACACCTGCAGACAGGCACACATACAGTCAGACACACCTGCAGACAGGCACACATACAGTCAGACACACGAACACACTGACAGAAACAGACATAACGATCTCAGTTTTTTTATAATGCATATGTTTGATTGCATTATGCAAATACGTAATGCTCGTATACTGTTTTTGTTCATGTAAATAAATATAAAGCATGTTCAATGTTCTGCAGCTCATACAAATTACTTCGTTCAATCACACCAACACATCGTGTAAACTGGTGTATGGGGTGTGTTTCACTGCCAGAACAGGCGTTCAGAGAGTCGTGTTATCCGGATGTCAGCTGACAAAGATAGACAATCACAATGCTAGAGACCAATTCTGACCTGGATGTTCATGTGGCGTGGAGACAAGATCGGGTGAAGATTATATGTGTCCTAACATACTGCTTGTTGTCTCGCCGTACATGGTGGTGCGGGAATGGACATAACGAGTGTGATATACTTCAGCTGACTTGATAGCAGCCACACTTCCAACAGCGTCAAAGAATCCGTGTATTTTGTAATATCTTCAATCAACTGAAGATGACTTCAAATCTCTCTTCAAAGTAACGAGTACATTTGAAGTTATTCCTTGACATCTGTTTTGCCTTGTTATTTGCTCAAATATAAAACTATCAGCCAGACCCACCAGCAGACTAATGTTACTTGACGGGTTGATAACAGAACTGGCGGGCCTTACGGTACATTATAACGCTGGACGACGTCACTGGACGACGTATTGATGTCGACAGCTGTTGGTGTTGATGATGTAGATAACAGTTAAGCTGTGAAGTAACCGCAGCTAACGTATATATTTATAAGAATTTACATCAACATATTTCGGGGTTTTCGACGTGGAGAATACGTCTATGTCAGCCATATGCACATAGTGTTTCCGGTTTTATTATCAGATCAGAAGAAAATTGTTACTAAATTTAAATTTCGTGTTTGTTTTAATCTGAGAAAACAATCCCGGATTCGACTCTTGATAAAACGTCCAATGTCAACTTGGTTTATTCCGTCACATTTCGTCTTGCCGGGAACGCCATGTAGGTTGAGAGTGGTCTGTGGTTGTTGACTGGACATGTCTGGGATATACAAACATCTTCCACACATGTTCAGTGGGCGACAACTGAGGACTGAATGCTGGCCATGTAGTAGGGTGATGATGTAGTAGGGTGATGATGTAGTAGGGTGACGATGTAGTAGGGTGATGATGTAGTAGGGTGATGATGTAGTAGGGTGATGATGTTAACTCTCATTCTGTCTATGCCACACTCTGTTCCGCGTCAATCAAGTCTAAAATAACCTTGATTCATCCTGAAACATAGCGTTTGCCCAACGACGAGTGTTCCAACGATGAGTTTCTCGACACTACAACGACGTCTTGCAGTAATGTGACGGGCCGTCAATCATGGACGTCAGGCATGCAGGTTCCATCTGCGTAGACGATTACTACTCATCTGTCTACTCACTCCTACCTGAAGCTCTGTGAAGCTCGTCTACCATCTGAGAGTCACTTTGACAACGGTTCCGTAACTCAGTCGTTCTGATAAAACGTATGGCATCAACGTTATTTGTCTGTCGATATCGTGATTACAATCTCATACTTATTGACTGTGGAACGTCACGAAATGCAAAACTCGTTGTGAAAAGGGATAACCATTTTCTAAATCCAGACACAATCATATAACTTGATTCCCGATTAAAATTACCCCACAATGGAAACCCCCTACAATGCAATATGTTGACTGTCTCATGCTCATCATATAAGGTGTTTGAGTTATGTTCATCCGTTTATTATGCCAACAAATTTGATTGTATAGTTCTAAGTTCTGCATCAATTGAATGCATCGCGATAGTTTTTGGGTTTGGATTTGAGTTAAATTGGCGACTATAAGGCGTCCTGAAGGTGACGGACGGGACCTGAAGGTGACGGACGAGACCTGAAGATGACGGACGAGACCTGAAGGTGACGGACGGGACCTGAAGGTGACGGACGAGACCTGAAGGTGACGGCTGAGACCTGAAGGTGACGGACGGGACCTGAAGGTGACGGACGAGACCTGAAGGTGACGGCTGAGACCTGAAGGTGACGGACGGGACCTGAAGGTGACGGACGAGACCTGAAGGTGACGGGCGAGACCTGAAGGTGACGGCTGAGACCTGAAGGTGACGGACGGGACCTGAAGGTGACGGACGAGACCTGAAGATGACGGACGAGACCTGAAGGTGACGGACGGGACCTGAAGGTGAAGGACCTGACGTGACGGCTGAGAGCTGAAGATGACGGACGAGACCTGAAGGTGACGGACGGGACCTGAAGGTGACGGACGGGACCTGAAGGTGACGGCTGAGACCTGAAGGTGACGGACGGGACCTGAAGGTGACGGACGGGACCTGAAGGTGACGGCTGAGACCTGAAGATGACGGACGAGACCTGAAGGTGACGGACGGGACCTGAAGGTGACGGACGAGACCTGAAGGTGACGGACGAGACCTGAAGGTGACGGGCGAGACCTGAAGGTGACGGGCGAGACATGAAGGTGACGGACGGGACCTGAAGGTGACGGACAGGACCTGAAAAGGTGAGGACGAGACCGAAGGTGACGGACGGACCTGAAGGTGACGGACGAGACCTGAAGGTGACAGCTGAGACCGAAGGTGACGGACGGACCTGAAGATGACAGGCGAGACCTGAAGGTGACGGGCGAGACATGAAGGTGACGGCTGAGACCTGAAGGTGACGGACGGGACCTGAAGGTGACGGACGAGACCTGAAGATGACGGACGAGACCTGAAGGTGACGGACGGGACCTGAAGGTGACGGACGGGACCTGAAGGTGACGGACAGGACCTGAAGGTGACAGCTGAGAGCTGAAGATGACGGACAGAGACCCTGAAGGTGACGGACGGGACCTGAAGGTGACGGACAGGACCTGAAGGTGACAGCTGAGACCTGAAAGGTGACGGACAGGACCTGAAAGGTGACGGACAGGACCTGAAGGTGACGGCTGAGACCTGAAGATGACGGACGAGACCTGAAGGTGACGGGCGAGACCTGAAGGTGACGGACGAGACCTGAAGGTGACGGACGGGACCTGAAGGTGACGGACGAGACCTGAAGGTGACGGACGAGACCTGAAGGTGACAGGCGAGACCTGAAGGTGACGGGCGAGACATGAAATGTGACGGACGGGACCTGAAAAGGTGACGGACGGGACCTGAAGGTGACGGACGACGAGACCTGAAGATGACGGACGAGACCTGAAGGTGACGGGCGAGACATGAAGGTGACGGCTGAGACCTGAAGGTGACGGACGGGACCTGAAGGTGACGGACGGGACCTGAAGGTGACGGCTGCGACCTGAAGGTGACGGGCGAGACATGAAGGTGACGGCTGAGACATGAAAGTGACGGCTGAGACCTGAAGGTGACGGACGGGACCTGAAGGTGTTTTACGCCTCTTTCAACAGTCCTCCACGGCGTGTCAGCTGATGTAGGAAGAAACTCCTAAGTACTGAAGGCCCGACGTTTACCACTCTGGTGAAGCCCACGATCTTGGGTATGGTGGCGACAAAGCAAAAACCATAATCAGTATGAATGTGAGAATCGGAGCCGCGACCATGGATTCTAACACGACAAACGCTATACAACAAACTGCGGCGTCTTGGACGATATTCCCTCCCCCGTTTCACACAATAACAGTGCTTGTCTCGTTACAGTCAAGGACGTGGTTGTGCTCTGTTTGTTGCGGATAACGGGCCGATGTTGTTGCGCTCTTCAACCAGGAAGTTGTACAGGTTGAGTGTTAATAATAGAAGTGACTCAGAGTAGATCTGAAGTGAGCGGTGTTTTTTATTCGTTTTCGTCAGTCGACTGTGAGCCAATGACTGAGTCGACATGTCATCTTACATTATCCCCTTCGAAAAACCAATATCACGCGCAATCCAGACAAGTTGACTTCCGCGAATCTCCCTTTCACAGATAATAATTACTCATCAAACAAACTCTTCACTCAGCGTGAAACTGATAAATCAACGTTCACAGCCCTCATTGTAGGGAAAAACTGAATAAGCAGAAAACCCGCGTTGTGGGGAAAAACCTACTGAACTGACAACTGTTTATATTTCCCGGTGTAATAGCCGTTTGGTATAGTGAGTAAGTACATGGGGATTTAACTCAATGTACTCATGTCATGACGCTGCCCTAAACCCAGTGACCTAGGTACAAGTCGATCATTTGATGGTACTACTGATATATATTGACCGCCTCCGTGGTGTAGTGGTTAGAGCGTCCGCCCGGAGAGCGAAAGGTCGCGGGTTCGATCCCCGACAGCGTCATACCAAAAGACGTTAAAATATGATACTTGTTGGTCCCTGCCTGTCGCTCGGCATTAATTGGTACATCAAGGACTGGTCGGCTTGGAGTCAGTATAATGTGTCTGTGTGAGGTATTCATGCTTCACTGCGGCATGGTATCTCAGTGGGCTAGTACTATAAAACCAGCTTAAGTCTGGGCTAGCACAAGCAGCCGCACATACACATACACACGCCTGCCCGTCGTCATATGAGCGAAATATTCTCAAGCACGACGCTAAACCCAATTTCACCTCACCTCATTACTGATATATAGCCTGCACTCATGGTCCGAAGGCATAATCAATATCCATAAAAAAGCGCTACTCTCTCAATAGTTTCCATGGAACTATTAGAAGGAATATCTTTCTTCACCCTATCCTTTGAAATTTTGTACCCGTCAGTGACGTCATCCCACTGTCCTGTTATTGTATACATCTCATGAAATACGGAACTTGTGCTAAATATAAATTCCTCAGACTTCACAAAAAAAACACATTTGGTTTTATAAAAATCTTCGTACCTGTGGTGAGTGAGCCGCAAGGCAACAAAGTCGCCGTTTTAAGAATTTCTTTTTCAAGTTCATGTGGGCCAGCATACGTCTGTAACATTTAGTTGGTGGAAATATAAATGTTGATTTCAAGTTGTTTCAGGTTTTCGTTAGGTTTACAGGTCTTCTATGAGATTCAAAATCCGAGGATGAGATATTTGTATCTTTCATGTACAAATGCCCACCACCAGATGTTTCTGTCCGTTTTGATTGATGTGCAATGTTCCTGAGTAGGTTCAGGGAGACTATAAGTTGTTGTAGATATCCCTGGTAGGTTAGGGGCGAGTTTGAATATCAAATTTGTGTAGAATGAGTGATTTGAGTTCAGCAGCTTCAAACGGTATTGCAGTGATATCACAGTAAGTCAGCAAGATGTGAAGGAGAGCCTGAAGTGATACAGTACATGGACCTTTACGACTCTAGTGAGTGAGTGAGTTTAGTTTTACACCGCACTCAGCAATATTCCAGCTATATGGCGGCGGTCTGTAAATAATCCAGTCTGGACCAGACAAACCAGTGATCAACAGCATAAGCATCGACCTGCACAATTGGGAACCGATGACATGTGTCAACCAAGCCAGCAATCCTGACCACCGATCCCGCGACTCTAGTGTAACCTACTAGCACAGGTTTGAGTGTTGACTAACCAGGGAACATAATCAGAGCAGGCCAGGATTTGAACCCACTTGGCCTATAGCATGTCTGAGAAATGCAACTCTGCGTATTGAACAGCTGTGGCTTAGAAGACATTGCCACCCATGTGTGTATATTTTGTGTGTTGGTTGTTAGACGGCACACTCAGTAATATGACACTAGTTCAAATATTCAAGCCAGGACCAGACAATCCAGTGACTTAATCCGATCATCCATCAGTGAAATTGGGATATGATGACGTTTGACCACCTGATCTGCTTGCGACAAGTATCAGTTGCTTAAGACCTGGATCTTGACAGGTCGGTCTCATCCATGTGTGGATAACAGGCTACAGGAAGAAACTACAGAACATGTGTATCATCTGAATACTTTATAGTCATATGCATACGAAAATATACTTTAGGCATATTGCAAAAATTGTACTGCAAAAGGGACAGCCAGGTGAAAAATTAATATTACAAAAGTAAACATGTGAATATGAGTAAAAACGAATCTGCATGATATAGTGCACATGACATTACCATAATATACACAGAGAAGATTATAAGTTACAAGGGGATAACACTCACTCGTATGGTTAACATTTAATTATACAAAAATACATTTTGAATGTATATCTGATTACACTGCAGTTAGTTCATTTTTCAGATTTGAAAACTAACATCTATTGCATACTACCGTACAAAGAGTTAAATCATCTGTATACTGTATACTTAACATACAAACTGCCAGCCCTAGCTATGGTTGTTAATCAGCCATGGTTTTTGTTCGGGCACTTGACAGAGTCATGTGATGTAAAGGTGACCAGTCTGGGAGCTATCTTTCAGAGCAGGTCTGGGACACCAAGGCATCTGTTGCCAAATGGGTTTTTCCCTGCCAAAGACACTACAATGTAGGACTATATGTTACATTAGAAATAAGGCCAGGTATCCAAGTATCTAGATCTATCTGCCACTACCTGTGAGATACAGTTTATACACAACCCGGAGGTTTGTTTCGGGACCACTACTATGAGACCAGTACTGTTACAAAATACATACAGCGTGTATTATGTGCCAGTGAGACCTAGACGGAATGCTATAACCTCCTCCTCATCTACACGGAGCTGTTCTTCCTCCCCTCCACCCTCACTCCGCTTAAACTCCTCATGTCATAGATAGTACCTACTTTTAGCAATGGTAACCCTTAAGAGCCCATAAGCTATTTCACTCAAAGGCATCATCCCTTAAAGTGGGCAATTCCATACGCTTTTGAAGCAAATGTTACAAAATATCTGAAACACATCTGACACCAATGTCCAGCACAGTGAATATTGTGGCCATGGTATCCTGTGGTAATGACCAGGTGCTGACACAACACACAGTTGGCCCACGGGCCCATCAGTCTCAAGGCTGACAGACACCGACAGTCATCCACAGGTAACACAAGGTTGGCCTGCAGCAATTTACAATGTGGAGCAAGCTGAGCATATCATTCACTTATATCAAAAGGTAAAAGCAAATGAATGAACAAATTCAAGCCAAACGGAATGTCACATATATATATGTATATATATATAGGTACATAAACATAAATGTTTAATAATAATTGTATACATAAATAGTGTAAATCAAAAATATAACAATAAAAATACAACAGGAATGGTCAGACATTTGTCCTAACATTTCTCTCTCTCCCCTGCCTTAGTCTGCATAGACAGGCAGAGCTGGGTGGGAACAACTGCACTCTCTTGAGTAGAACACATATAGGACTGCATAAACATAGGAGTCTCTGGACCCTGCATATAAACACATATGGAGCATGATCGGTGAGCAAAGTTCTCATCACAATGTGCTGATGTACATCGGAATGATGACTCTCCAGCACAATACATCTGAGGGCCCTCCGGAGGCTGCGTGGGCAGCTAGAGCAAGCCTGTATCCAGCAGTATTGGGTCTGCTGACTCATTCATGTGGCAATGTGGTGTGTTTGAAAGTTGGTGGTGATGGCTGTCGGGGTGGTGTGTACGGCCTCTACTGCCGCTTCGGTCTGTTCATGGTGGTCAGCATCAAACTGATGTAGGAGGTGAGCAGGTCGTCCATCTTGTAGCCCTGCAACATCACACACAGTATTACTGGTGACTCAGCGGCAGGAGTGGGTGACTTGCCACATGAGTAGTTAGTTCTACACAGGCAATATTGTAGTAGTACATCACAAGTTTTTCACAAGCAAACCAGATGGTGACTGTAGGAGCAATGCCCAATCTTGTGAGGTGTAAGCAGTCACAGCTGTCGCTAGCTCATCAACATGTTAGTCACCTCACACTGCTGGGTCCAGGTACAAACCTAGTACCGCTTTCTGACACCTTCACAAACTGTTACATTCTGCTTTCATAAATTCTGACAATTTGTTCGGGTGGTGCAAACCTTGTATGTGTACAGCTTTCTGACACCTTCACAAACTGTTACATTCTGCTTTCATAAATTCTGACAATTTGTTCGGGTGGTGCAAACCTTGTATGTGTACACCTTTCTGACACCTTCACAAACTGTTACATTCTGCTTTCATAAATTCTGACAATTTGTTCGGGTGGTGCAAACCTTGAATGTGTACGGCTTTCTGACACCTTCACAAACTGTTACATTCTGCTTTCATAAATTCTGACAATTTGCTAGGTTGGTGCAAACCTTGTATGTGTACCGCTTTCTGACACCTTCACAAACTGTTACATTCTGCTTTCATAAATTCTGACAATTTGTTAGGGTGGTGCAAACCTTGTATGTGTACAGCTTTCTTACACCTTCATAAACTGTTACATTCTGCTTTCATAAATTCTGACAATTTGCTAGGGTGGTGCAAACCCTTGTATGTGTACAGCTTTCTTACACCTTCACAAACTGTTACATTCTGCTTTCATAAATTCTGACAATTTGTTAGGGTGGTGCAAACCTTGTATGTGTACCGCTTTCTGACACCTTCACAAGCTGTTACATTCTGCTTTCATAAATTCTGACAATTTATTAGGGTGGTGCAAGCCTTGTATGTGTACAGCTTTCTGACACCTTCATAAACTGTTACATTCTGCTTTCATAAATTCTGACAATTTGTTAGGGTGGTGCAAACCTTGTATGTGTACAGCTTTCCCACACCTTCACAAACTGATACACACTAATCACACAGGATGTCAACATGGGAAGCTAATACAGTCAGTGTCAGCAAAGAATGTTAATGACTCACCAGTGATGTCTCACACAACAGCTTGCTGCCACGCACCAGGTTGCCGATGGTCATGTGGAAGTAGGTGTTACCACTGCTCCAGTTGGAGATCTTGGTGAAAGGATGGGTGGCAAGGATCTCCTGGCAAACACAAACATCCGTGTGTCAGTAATGTCTTGTCTGTTGTGGTAATGTCCAGGGATACCATGACGAGAATGTGTGTTCCTCAAGTCTCAGTGTACACACTCTTGACATTCATATTGACTATTAACGCCAGGGTACCAGAAGCATTGACTGCTACGACTGAGATGAAGCCATTTTGAAAGTACGTGGCTGAAAATTGTTTTTTCATTGCAGGAAATAGGTACCAATTTTTTTCTATCAATAAAATAAGGTGTATTAAAATGAAATATGTGTTTGCAGACATTGTTAAATGTGGGAGATTTATTAAATCAACTATATGAAAGGTAGATTCCTTGAAGTATACATAATTTTGAGTGGGCTATGGCCTGACCAGTATACTGTCCTGCATTCATGAATCTGTGGTCAGCTTACCGCCTTCCACTGCTGAAGGAATTATACCAATCTGCTGATGTAAGTCCTCCAGTGTGTTGATGAATAGTGGTACGTACCTTGCTATGGGGGTGGATGAGGTTCACACCACTCTTGTTGATGGCGATAAGCAGGATCTCAGGGTAATTGGGCTCTGTTGTTTGCTGTGCAGGAAATAATCATTGGCCCTTATCAAGCATCCAAAATACATGGGATTAACTTGGGTCTGTCTAAGTTTGAGTAATTGGTGACCTCAGCATTAGATTTTTGGGGGTACATGACATGAATATGGCTGCTCTGAGTGGCATTTTAGAAGTTGGAAGTCAGATAATATGGATGACAACGTCTTTTATTCTAGAGCACAATGTTTCGATACAGGTTCTTGTATTGTTTTCATACTTGAAAACGATACAAGAACCTGTATTGAAATGTCATGCTCTAGAATAAAAGAAGTTGTCATCCAGATATATATACTTGTTCTATCTATATGAATATAGCTGGGTACTGAGGGGAGAACATTTCAAAGAACATTATTTGTGCCCTTTCTTGATGAAAGTCTCATATTGTCAACCTGATCATGCAATCAAGAACAACGTTGATAAATTTAGTGATTCAAGCAGACATGTTAATTAATTTTTGTTTGCATCATAAAATATTCACATCAAATTTCACTTTGCATGCAGGAACCAATACTGTGTCTGGTAAATTCCGATACATAAGTGGTAAGTCATTGATAACAGGCATCACAACACATCCATTGCCTAGGCATCTAAAACCTGAATATTCTGGAGTTTACCTTGACTTCAAAGAATGCTGATCCAAATGTTGGCCACTTAAAGATGATCTTGAGGAACTCCACCTTGGCATCTTCCTGGCTTTTGCCAGCATCTCTGTTGTATGCAGCCACTATCGCCTGCAGCAGTCACGATTGGGCTCTAACTACAGAGATTGGTGAATAGGGAACCATGGTCACAAACAGTGGGCTCTAACTACAGAGATTGGTGAATAGGGAACCACGGACACAAACAGTGGGCTCTAACTACAGAGATTGGTGAATAGGGAACCATGGTCACAAACAGTGGGCTCTACCTACAGAGATTGGTGGATAGGGAATCATGGTCACAAATAGTGGCACAGTTGGGCTCTAATCAGAGATGGGTGATTACGAGGCCATGATCACAAACAGTGGCACAGTTGGGCTCTAACCAGAGATTGGTGAACAGAGATTAGTGAACAGGAGACCATGGTCATAACAGACTTTCTATTACAAAGCAAAGCACATGAAACTACAGAAACCACTTACCCTTTTCCAGTCTTCAGGTGACTGAGCTTTAACCATATCTTGTGGTAGGAATTCACGCAATGCTCTCCTGCAAAATAGGGGCATATACCAATGATTGTCTATGTCAAAACACATCCTGTAACACAATACCCGAGAGTAACTGGTGAATACTCACACCAACGTTTGCAGTTCCTTCTTGCTCTCTCCATACTTGACCCTGTATATGAGAGCACCCAGGATTGCTGCTTCCTCCTTGCTGCACCGGTGGTAGCCACGCAGCAGTTTCGGCAGCTCCTACAACACAGAACAGGGCTAGATGCAGGAAACAGGGCTAAATACAGGAACACAGGCTACATACGGAAAACAGGGCTACATACAGGAAACAGGGCTACATGCAGGAACTTGGGTTAGATGCAGGAAACAGGGCTACATACAGGAACCTGGGTTAGATGCAGGAGACAGGGCTACATGCAGGAAACAGGGCTAGATACAGGAAACAGGGCTACATGCAGGAAACAGGGCTAGATACAGGAAACAGGGCTAGATACAGGAAACAGGGCTAGATACAGGAAACAGGGCTACATACAGGAAACAGGGCTAGATACAGGAAACAGGGCTACATGCAGGAAACAGGGCTAGATACAGGAAACAGGGCTAGATACAGGAAACAGGGCTACATACAGGAAACAGGGCTAGATGCAGGAAACAAAGCTAGATGAAGGGAAACAGGGCTACATACAGGAAACAGGGCTAGATACAGGAAACAGGGCTACATACAGGAAACAGGGCTACATACATGAACCTGGGTTAGATGCAGGAAACAGGGCTAGATACAAGAAACAGGGCTAGATACAGGAAACAGGGCTAGATACAGGAACCCAGGCTACATACAGGAAACAGGGCTAGATACAGGAAACAGGGTTACATACAGGAAACAGGGCTACATACAGGAAACAGGGCTACATACAGGAAACAGGGCTAGATACAGGAAACAGGGCTAGATGAAGGAAACAGGGCTAGATGCAGGAAACAGGGCTAGATACATGGAAACATGGCTACATACAGGAAACAGGGCTAGATGCAGGAAACAGGGCTAGATAAAGGAAACAGGGCTACATACAGGAACAGGGCTAGATACAGGAAACAGGGCTAGATACAAGCAACTGGGCTACATACAAGAAACAGGGCTACATACAGGAAACAGGGCTACATACAGGAGACAGGGCTAGATGCAGGAAACAGGGCTACATACAGGAAACAGGGCTACATACAGGAAACAGGGCTACATACAGGAAACCGGGCTACATACAGGAACCTGGGTTAGATACAGCAGCAGGGCTAGATACAAGAAACAGGGCTAGATACAGGAAACAGGGCTAGATGCAGGAAACAGGGCTAGATGCAGGAAACAGGGCTAGATACAGGAAACAGGGCTAGATACAAGAAACTGGGCTACATACAAGAAACAGGGCTACATACAAGAAACAGGGCTACATACAGGAAACAGGGCTACATACAGGAAACAGGGTTATATGCAGGAAACAGGGCTACATACAGGAAACAGGGCTAGATACAGGAACCTGGGTTAGATGCAGGAAACAGGGCTAGATACAAGAAACAGGGCTAGATACAGGAAACAGGGCTAGATGCAGGAAACAGTGCTAGATACAGGAAACAGGGCTAGATACAGGAAACAGGGCTAGATGCAGGAAACAGGGCTAGATGCAGGAAACAGGGCTACATACAAGAAACAGGGCTAAATACAGGAAACAGGGCTAAATACAGGAACCCGGGCTACATACAGGAACCTGGGCTACATACAGGAAACAGGGCTACATGCAGGAACCTGGGCTACATGCAGGAACCTGGGTTAGATGCAGGAAACAGGGCTACATACAGGAACCTGGGTTAGATGTAGGAAACAGGGCTACATGCAGGAACCTGGGTTAGATGCAGGAGACAGGGCTAGATGCAGGAAACAGGCTAGATACAGGAAACAGGGCTAGATGCAGGAAACTTGGCTACATACAAGAAACAGGGCTACATACAAGAAACAGGGCTACATACAGGAAACAGGGCTAGATACAGGAAACAGGGTTATATGCAGGAAACAGGGCTGCATACAGGAAACAGGGCTACATACAGGAACCTGGGTTAGATGCAGGAAACAGGGCTAGATACAAGAAACAGGGCTAGATACAGGAAACAGGGCTAGATGCAGGAAACAGGGCTAGATACAGGAAACAGGGCTAGATGCAGGAAACAGGGCTAGATGCAGGAAACAGGGCTACATACAAGAAACAGGGCTAAATACAGGAAACAGGGCTAAATACAGGAACCAGGGCTACATACAGGAACCTGGGCTACATACAGGAAACAGGGCTACATGCAAGAACCTGGGCTACATGCAGGAACCTGGGTTAGATGCAGGAAACAGGGCTACATACAGGAACCTGGGTTAGATGTAGGAAACAGGGCTACATGCAGGAACCTGGGTTAGATGCAGGAGACAGGGCTAGATGCAGGAAACAGGCTAGATACAGGAAACAGGGCTAGATGCAGGAAACAGGGCTAGATACAGGAAACAGGGCTACATACAGGGACCTGGGTTAGATGCAGAAAACAGGACTAGATACAGGAACCTGGGTTAGATGCAGAAAACAGGGTTAGATGCATGGTGATATACAGAGAGAACGCTAAAGGCACAATGATATACAGGAGAGTGGGTTAATGGCACAATTAAATAAAGGAGAGACGGCTAGATACATGCAATGTACAGGAGAGAGCGCTGGAGACATGGCGATATACAAGAGAGATAGCTTGAGGCATGGCGATATACAGGAGAGAGGGCTTGAGGCATGGCAATATACAGGAGAGAGGGCTAGAGGCATGGTGATATACAGGAGAGAGGGCTAGAGACATGGCGATATACAGGAGAGAGGGCTTGAGGCATAGCAATATACAGGAGAGAGGGCTTGAGGCATGGCAATATACAGGAGAGAGGGCTTGAGGCATGGTGATATACAGGAGAGAGGGCTAGTGACATGGCGATATACAGGAGAGAGGGCTTGAGGCATAGCAATATACAGGAGAGAGGGCTTGAGGCATGGCAATATACAGGAGAGAGGGCTAGAGGCATGGTGATATACAGGAGAGAGGGATAGTGACATGGCGATATACAGGAGAGAGGGCTTGAGGCATGGCAATATACAGGAGAGAGGGCTTGAGGCATGGTGATATACAGGAGAGAGGGCTAGAGACATGGCGATATACAGGAGAGAGGGCTTGAGGCATAGCGCTATAGAGGAGAGAGGGCTAGAGACATGGCTGAATACAGGCACCAGGGTTTGATGCAATGTTACCCAGGAAACAGGGCTCTCTATACATTACTACATACAGCAAATAGAGCTGAACAGGGCTAGAAACATGGCAAAACACAGAAACCAAGGCTAGATACATGGCTAAACACAGAAAACAGGGCTAGATACATGGCTAAAGACAGAAAACAGGGCTAGATACATGACTTAAACACAGAAAACAGGGCTAGATACATGGCTAAAGACAGAAAACAGGGCTAGATACATGACTAAACACAGAAAACAGGGCTAGATACATGGCTAAACACAGAAAACAGGGCTAGATACATGGTTAAAGACAGAAAACAGGGCTAGATACATGGCTAAACACAGAAAACAGGGCTAGATACATGACTAAACACAGAAAACAGGGCTAGATACATGGCTAAACACAGAAAACAGGACTAGATACATGGCTAAACACAGAAAACAGGGCTAGATACATGACTAAACACAGAAAACAGGACTAGATACATGGCTAAACACAGAAAACAGGGCTAAATACTGGAAACTGGGAGAAATACAGAAAGGAGGGCGAGATGCAAAGTTGTCCAAGAAAACAGGGCTCTATATTACATGACTACATACAGCATGCAGGGCTTAATACAGGAATCAGTCCCACTGACGAGTAGGGACCACAAATGTCGTAAGGACATCTTTTCATCCTACCTGGTGGTAGTGGAAGATCAAGTCAGCGTTGATGTCTTTGCCGGGCACTGTGTTGGTCCACAGCTTCTTCATAAAGAACACCTGGTATGTAAACTGTGGGACAGCACCTGTAGCAGGCAACAACTGGGCAACTCAGGCTTCTCTCCTTGGGTATATACTCACAGGAGCTCTCACACACTAAACACTAACATCTGTCTAAACAAGCTGGATTACTCTAACATTATGTGTGTAACGCATTACTTCTGTGCAACACAATCAGAAACCACAAAAACATAAGAATAACAACATACTTTACCAAACATTGTAACAGAAAAATAGATGTTCATTTCAGACAGGCAATCTTATTGATTAAACATTCATTTTTTGGAAGAAAATGTTTATTTCTATTGTTTGGATATTTTTAGCAGTTTTGTTTGAATGAATATGCTAACAAAGTTGGTAATGTACTACTTTTGCCAGTTAGAATGCCCAACCGTAATCACCCTCATCGCTTGTGGTGTTTTGAAGTTGACACTCAGGATGGAGTGAGTTTATTGTGATGAGACAAAACAGTAACTTAGTGCCGTCATTACAGACCTTCCCATGGTGTCTTAAGGCAGGGAGTGCTTGTTTACTTCCAGTCTTATGAGTGAGTGAGTATGGTTCTACGCCACTTTTAGCAATATTCCAGCAACATCAAGGCAGGGGACACCAGAAAAGGGCTTCACACATTGTACCAATGTATCGAATCGGACACAGGTCTTCGGCGTGACAAGCGAACGCTTTAACCAGTAGGCTAAACCACCGCCCCTCAGTCTTATGAGCATAACTTACATCAACTATCAAGTCAGAGAATACATGTAAACAACAGGTGATGTTTCCTTTCCCTAAGATCCTTACAAAACATCAAACTTCAAAGATACTTGACACCTTAGTTCAAGTTGGTTTTAATATTGCCAGAATAAGGAATGCAGGACATATATCAGACACTTAACTGAGTGAGTGAGTTTAGTTTAGTTTTACGCCGCACTCAGCAATATTCCAGCTATATGGCGGCGGTCTGTAAATTATCAAGTCTGGACCCAACAATCCAGTGATCAATAGCATGAGCATCGATCTACACAACTGGGATACAATGACATGTGTCAACCAAGTCAGCGAGCCTGATCACCTGATCCTGTTAGTCGCCTCTTACGACAAGAATGGGTTACTGAAGATCAATTCTTTCCCGGATCTTCACAAGTCCACAGTTAACTGAAATATCCCCGAATGTTAATGTGTGGTCAATAACAAGCTGGTATATCCTGGAGCCTGATGGTCAGTGAGGAGCAGGACCTACTCACCATCCCTGGATGGCCGTGCCTTTCTGATCCCGTCAGTCAGATAACGCACAAAGTCAAAGAAGAAATCTCCCTCAGGAACACTAATAACTGCAATGTTGAAACTTAAATATGAACATTTATCACACAAATGTAATTTTTCCAGTAAAATTAATATTATTATACTTATCCTGACTCATGATCTTTTGCTTATCTCCCTTTCCCTTACGAATGGTTGTGGAACACTTGAATCCCTTGAAGTTCCCGAAGCGGACGTAAACATACACTCACCCACGAGTTATTATAGGATATTTATATAGCGCACATATCCAGGCAACTAGTGCATGCTCAAGGCGCTGGTATTTTCCCCTCGATCATTGGATGTCAATCTCAACGGCACATCGTATTATCAATCTCAACTCCCTGGGGGAGTATACAACTCTTGCAGCCACTAGGCGCACCGAGTTATTGTGGCCTTCTCATCCTAACGAGGTACCCATTCACAGCTGGGTGGACTGGGACACATAGTCACAGTACTTTGTCCAAGTTCACTGCACGTTGCTGTACCCGCAACTAGGTGTTTGCACGTATTCATGTGGCCACCATCTGGTCATATACCAACGGATTCGTGGGTTCTTTTAAGTGCACAGGGATGTGTACTGTACACTAGGGGTTGTGACAACACTGAAAGAGTCTGCACAGAAAGTTGACTCCAAGGTTTTTTACACCCGGTCACAGGTGGGCTCGATCCCGGCACCTCAACCTCGCTGGATCACTAGCCTGGCGTCTTAGCCAGCTCGCCCACCGCGCCCCTTAAGGTACCTACCTTTTCCCGCGTAAACAGTCATGTGACCAGCCTTACCTGTCACTCTCTCCTGATTTTTCTGCCCAAGCACTTGGATCTACTATGAAATCCGAAGTGTTTCCAGCGGGGAGGTCGGGAGGGCTTGACCTCATGAGTCAGGATAAGTATAAAAAATATCAATTTTACTTGAAAAATTACATATGTTTTCTTATCCTGACTCATGATCTTTTGCTTATAGAATCCGACGGATTGGTGGTGGGTCAGGCCACTTCCTGGATTCATCAGCTGTCCTTTAAATACGTCCGGTATCCCCCACATGGGAACTGCGTAGCAGCATTTCCGATATCCTATTCTTCCAACTTCCGTTATAACTCGGGGGGACAACTTCTTGTCTTACCTCCATCTCAGACAAATTGAATCATCTTGATTCATGTGGCTTCAGATAAACTAGTATCTTCTTACTACTAGATATCTTATAACAACCCATAGATTATGATAAGATCTTTATCATAAATGAGTTGCGACCCCTTCACGTACAGGTAAGACCTTTACCCGTACAGGATCTTTAATCACTCATGCTAGTCTGTCCTAGACTGTGTGCATGGACTTTCAAACTAATACTTTTCCTTAGTAAAAGTTATCAACAAGTCAACGTGATAAAGGGTGAGATTTTCCAACTCAGCGCCTTTGAGGAACCGTTAGTTGCTGTGCTGCAACGAGAGGCCCGAATTGGTGAATGCCTGAGACGTCTTCAGTGGCTATGTCTCCGAGGTAGTGGTTGGCAAACACTGTGTCCGACTGCCAAAAGCAGCCCTCCATAATTGCTGATATAGAGCAATGTCCATGCAGAGCTAGTGTTGACGCCAGTGCTCTGACTTCGTGTTGGTTGGAAGCTCTAGGAAGTTCTAGTCCTGCTGCTTTATAGGCTCTCATCTAGAACGATATCGTCGTTCTTGAGACTTCTACTGATGTCTCTGTGGATAATGGGATGAACAGGCGCTTGAATTTTCGTCTCCTTGTCTTAGTCTTTTGAAGATATATCTTCAGGGCTCTGACCGGAGACAAGGATAGGTCCTCTATATCCTCTAGTCCGAGGATTGTAGATAGCGCTGGTACGTGGAACTGTCTATCTGGTTGACCTGGTAGTTGGTTCTTGGCAATGAAGTCACATCTAAGTCCTAGATGAACTGCAGCATGTTGCCCCGTGTCGAATCTGGTTCGACCAAAGTCCAGCGTATGTATTTCTGATATCCGAGCTGCCGTGGCTAGCGCAAGCAGGAACAGAGTCTTCTGTGTGAGCAGCTCGAAGGTAGTCTGATCTAGAGGTTCGTAGGCATCAACTGGTAAGATGATGTAGAATTACATTCAGATCCCAGGCCGGAGCTCTAAACTTCTTTTGCTGGTCTTCCAGTTTAAAAGATCTCAGCAGAGCAAGTAATTCTGGTACTTTCGTCAACTTGATGCCTGTTTTCATGGTAATCACTGTACTGATGGCAGCAAGGTATGTAGATAATGTCGGACCTTTCAGATGTCTAGTCTGTCTAAGATGACACAGGTATTCCGCCACTTGAGGATGAGTAGCTTTCATAGCAATGAAGCCTTTCCGCCTTGCATAAGTCTCAAACTTCAGCCACTTGTCATCATACAGGTTACGAGTAGATATGCGTAACGCTAGCGTTACTGCCTTGGCTGCCCTGGCTAAGTATCCTCTTTTCTTCAAACATGTTTTGATATCGTCCAGTGTTGGGTTCCCGTGGACTTGCTTGGTGTGCGGATGTATGAGTAGGTTCGGCCAATCTGGTAACTTGATTGTTGGACTTCCGAGATCTTCTATTAGGTCTAGGAACCATACTCTCCCTGGCCAGTAAGGCGCGACCAAAGTCAGTTGTAGCGCCTGTGTCTGTTTGATCTTCAACAGTATTTTCGGTAGTAATATCAGTTGTGGAAACGCATAAGCGTTTAGTCCTTCCCATGATATCTTCGGTGCATCTGTTGCCCAGGCTTGAGGATCTGGAACTGGTGAGACAAACGTCTCTAGTTGTTTGTTGACCCTCGTTGCAAACAGGTCTATGCATGGGGATCCTATTTCCATTATGATGAGCCGAAATGCTTCTGGATGGAGCATCCATTCAATAGGTGACGGGTGCAGTGGTCGGGAGAGAGCTTCTGCAAGCACGTTCTTGGCTCTTGGTATGTGACACGCCTTTATCCAGATGTTTGCCTCCTCCATGATGTCAAACAACTGGAATGTGAGCTGTAGTAGGCTTGGTGATCTTGTAGATCCTTGCCGATATATGAAGAATGCCACAGTAGAGTTGTCCGTGTGGACCATCAGCATTCGGTTGATAAGCGAGCTCGACCATAGTTGTAAGGCGTTGATCACAGCTTTCATCTCCAGCAGATTGATGTGAAGATGCTGCTCTGCTTTGGACCACTTCCTTGATGCAACTTGATTGTTGAGATGTGCACCCCAACCTTGTATCGATGCGTCTACGCAGAGATGTGTGTCGAAGGCCGGCTCTTGTAAATAGGTCCCTCCGCAGACGTTCGACCTGTGGGTCCACCAAAGTAGGTACCTCTTAAGATTGTCTGGCAGCAAGATAGGGTCGACGCTGTCCAGATGTTTTGTCAGGAACCATAGCAGCGGCCTTAGTTGTAACGTTCCTGTGCGAGTCAAGTCCTGCGCTGAGGTTAGTAGACTGAGTAGACATTGCCATGTTCGTAGTGTTAACGGAGAGATGACTGCTTGTGAAATCATGGCTTGTATCTTGACCCAATAATCTTCTGGGACCACAATTCGATTCTGTGTTGTGATAATTCTTATTCCCAGCAATTGAAGATCTTGTTTGATTCTAACTCCAACTTCATCAGGTTCACTAGCCATCCTAGTTGCGTGAGCAAATTAATTGTGAAGTTCAGCTGCTGTCTGAGTTGATTGGCACTTTGAAGAACCTGTATGCTGTCGTCCAAATGACCGGCACTACGTAGACCTCGATGCTGCAGATAGGTGCCAATAGGCTTGGTTATTCGTATGAAAAATCATAGAGCCGATGATATTCCAAACGGTAGGACGCTCCATTGGAAGTGCTAAACTCTGATTGCAGTGATGATACATCATTCTTCCCCTTTTATGCGCAGGCGATCTGTGTTGGTCAGCATACATCGAAGCGTTGTCTATTTATAGCAAGGCTGGCTCCAGTGTAGCATCGCAGGGGACAGGTACTCATACCGACTTTTATCAGCGACAACTTCCAGAATAAACATTGTTTATTCTGCTGTCAAGGCTAGACATCTATTAGATTCCCATGATGACAACAGGCCGTAGTTGTATACTGTTTCCAAGGCTGCCGATGAAATATTCCCCGTACCACGGGTTTGTTTACAAATCAGAAAACATGCTGGAGCCTGCTCTGTCAGTGGGAGGCGTTGTCTGACATGGACCAATCAGCTTCCAAGCATGACGTCACCGGTGTTGTAGCAAGTTGGCCTCCATAAAATCTGATGCAATTAGTTGGTTGAGTAAAAGCGCGCATAATTCTACGCCGCACATATAACCCTCTTGAATAAGGGTTGCTCCAAGTGTAAATTCTTGTTTGGTGATATAAATCACTTATTCCCAGCATGACGAAGGAGGCTGTCGAGACGTATGTCTGTATGGATCTTGAAGAAATACCAATGTTGAATCTAGTTGATAGGATATATAATCCTAATCCCCATGCTGAGTGACGAGTGTTAATAATATCATCTGTGCGTCTGTTCAAGGATACTTGAAGGCATTGTTAACCTTAAGCCCTTTACAAAGGTCGCCTTGAGGTTCTCCAGTACTTGAGATATCGGCTTCATAGGTGATATCATATTGGAGTCAAAGTTATCAGCATATATGCAGTACGTCTCTGTTGGGTTGGAGTGAGTGAGTGAACTACAATATCCACAGGCCATCTGCTACCCCGTATAAGACCTCAACATCCGTATAGATGAAGGGATTCCTATCATCAAGTAGGTTGTCATCCGAAACTGAACTTATACAGGTATAAGGTTTGTGCAGGTTGTAGAGTTGTGCAGGCTGTAAACTGTAGAGATCGCACATGTTGTAAATGTTTTTGTTGAGTTTTAAACTCTGACAAAACCATCTGTTCTCATCATTGCTTCGTTTTATTCAGCCGTATGGTATTAGAGTCAACGTCAACATCCTGCCTGTTGATGCAAGGGTTTGTTAACCCTAGGGTTCACGAACCCTGTAGATGTCCGCGTTGCTGTTTTCTGCTGTTATCTGAGTTCTCGAACCTTGTATATGTCTGCAGCTTTCTCAAAGCTGTGCGTTGGTTAGAAGGTACCTTGGATATAGGTTCAATCGGAGGAATAGTCACTGAGTCAAAGTCATCATTACGCATCTTATAAGTGTAGACTTCATCTATATCTTTAGAAGGAGACTCCAAGTTCAGCAATTGGCTATCCAATCTGTTACCTCTGATTCCAGGAAGATGAAGTCTGGTTATTCATCAGTTATGTCCTGATCGGTAAAGCTATGACTCCGCAAATCATCCTTCTGCGAACCTGTATCCCTTTTCAAACCTCCCTCAGCCTTTCGCGAACTGAAAATTCCTCCCTTTGCGAACGTCTATCTTGAGAGACCTCTCTTCGCGAACCTCTATCTGTGGATTCATCTCTTCGCGAACCTCTGTGATGTGAGCCTACTCTTCGCAAACCTCTGTCGCTAGATGTATCCCTTCCCGAACCTCTGTGATGTGAGCCTTCTCTTCGCGAACGTCTGTGAGAGATTTGAGATCTCGATCTAGAACGGCTAGATGTAGGAGATGGATCCTTCGATGTTCTCGAACATTGAGATGTAGAACGGTGAGTTAGGCATCTCATGTCTTCTATCCTCCTCCAAGATGACAGAGTCGTCAGACTGTGGAGACCTTCGCAAAGGTGTACGTTCGCCTACGTAGTCTTGAGACGTAGTTCTATGAAGAGTGGGTTCGCGCAGGTCCGTGGGTTCGCACAGGTCCGTGGGTTCGCACAGGTCCATAGGTTTGCGCATGATGTCAGTACATGAGAGGCTTCGCCGAGCCTTCGCTTCTTCTTCGAACCTACGTTCCATCATCTGGTTGGTCAATCGTCTCAAATTTCACACGGATCAAGTTCTGCGTTGATTGAGGTGAGGTGAGGTGAGGTGAAATTGGGTTTAACGTCGCGCTTGAGAATATTTCGCTCATATGACGACGTGCATGCGTGTGTATGTGTATGTGTGGCTGCTTGTACTAGCCCAGACTTAAGCTGGTTTTATAGTACTATCCCACTGAGATACCATGCCGCAGTGAAGCATGAATACCCCACTCAGACACATTATACTGACTCGAGCCGACCAGTCCTTGTTGTACCCATTAATGCCGAGCGCCAGGCAGGGACCAACAAGTACCATATTTTAACGTCTTTTGGTATGACGCGGTCGGGGATCGAACCCGCGACCTTCCGCTCTCCGGGCAGACGCTCTAACCACTACACCACGGAGGCGGTCCCTGCGTTGTTTGAAGCTGCTGCGGTGTAGAAGAAGCGTTCGCGAACGCTGATGAGTTGTGTGCCTCGACTTCACTCCGTTGAGAAGTTGGTGGTACTTCGTCAAACAGCTGGCCTGCTGTGACCGTTGCAGGAGATGATCTAGTAGTTTTTGAAGTCGATTGAGTCGCCGATCTCGTAGGTACTTTTGGTAGAAGTGACGAGGGATCATCAAAAAACGTCTACTTCATGCGGAGGTAATATGTCTTCGTTGAAGGATTTCTGATGCGTTGACTTACTAGGCCGCGTAGATTTACCCTCCGATCTGGTAACATATGCTTTCTTCTGCGAAGTAGAAGACGACGACGTCTTTTTCTTAGCATGAGTCGGAGTCAACTGCGTTGTAGCCGATCTCTTCTTGGCCCACGTACCAGCAGACTGCCCCTGCAACGTACTCACCAACATAGCACCAGTATTATGAATTTCAGCAGTAGCAAGCAACATACGGTTTGCAGGCTGATCTCCTGTTTAATCAGTCGTGACTTGAGATGACTTCCTCGTCCGATCCATGAAACACTGCAAGATTTCATGAAATGTAAACAAAGTTACATAACGATGACATTATGACACAAATACAAATAATTTTTACAAAATGTTTACATATAATACATAGTAGTTATTGCCAAATCCATACACAGCGTAATTTTGAAGAATAGGACCTAAATAAAAAGGATATAATGCCGAATATGGGACTTCAGTGCTTGCCCAACCATCCACTTGGGCGAAAAGGGAGAGAGTGACAAGGAAGGCTGGTCACATGACTGTTTACGCGGGAAAAGGGAGGTAACTCGTTGGTGAGTGTATTTTTACATCCGTTTCGGGAACTTCAAGGGATTCAAATGTTCCACTACCATTCGCAAGGGAAAGGGAGATAAGCAAAATATATAATTTCATTAAACAATGTTTGGAACATTAGACTTTAAAATGAATATCAGGTATGTATAGAAAAAACAAACTTATCTCTTATTTGTGTATCACCCTTACATCAATCCATCCTAAATCATTTCTTCACATATACATATGAAATAACTCAGGACAATAAAATTCATTGATTTTCATGACAAAGGGACTTCATGGTAACCCAGGGATTCTGGAGCAGTGTATGTGCTTCATACTGTCTTCTCACAGCAGACTGCTATGTTTGATGAGGGTAAGTGTGTCCCAACCAAATAACTGGCATATACAGATGCATTCAATCCCAACCTGAACAAGAACAGATACCCTTCCCTTTATGACACAGGTTTACACACAAACCTTTATTAGCTATCTTGACAAACAAGCTGAAGCCTTCTGCAGACCGCAGGGCCAGTTTGTTGGCAATATTCTGGCAGAAATCCTTTGCTCTAGTACAGGACTCGACCTCAAATGCCTGATGTGACAAAAATCATGCACATATAACAGTTCTTATTACGGTCCATTAGGAGAGACATGTTAACATGAAAGCATACGACTTGGACTCACGGTAAAAATACAACAGATCTACACAGGAATTATTACATATGTCTCTGTTAAGTGTGGGAGTTGAGTGTTACTGAGCACTGAGGCATATCCCCACCTCGTCTGTGTCATCAGGGAAGTAGACTTTGTGCAGGATCTGCTTTGTCTTGTGCTGGATGGCCTCCACCTCCACTTGATGTGGAGGGTACTTTCTGGTGCCATTCCTGCAACACACAGCACTCATGCTCAAACAACAGAAGTCTCAGTGTCGAGATCATCAAAGAGAAAATTGTCCCCATACAAAAGTACTCAAATGGCAGCCCACGTTTATGGGAATGGAAGCAAGGCTACGTTTCTAGGTGTTTCATACCTAAGTGTCTTCTTGAGTCTGTTCATACAGTCTGGGGCAATAGAGTTTTTCCTTGTCCTGAGAAACTGCATCAGTTCCTTCAGAAGGTTTGTGCTTGGGGCGAAGCAGCCTGTAGCAAGCCACATCAGCTCATACCCCCGCTCCTCACTGGATCTGTAAGGAAATACCACATGCTGACTCTTGGCAGCCATAGCAATGTAATGTCTATAGCTGCTTGTCAGGTACTGCTGTTTTTACATTAACAGGTCACAATATTTGACCAGAACAAACGAGATATGATTGTGAATGGACTGTGGATGAGTCTACCCGAGCAATGAGTCACTGATGTACTACTCTCAGTGCCAGCCACCCCACTTAGGGTGTACAACATGACCTGTGTCGCTGCCTTGGGTTCCTAATGTGTTTATTGTTTAGCATATCAAAACTAAAACAGCTTATTTATGACAGGATATAACATGAAAACAGGTATTCTCTCTGCCATACAGAGACTCTAGCCTACCTGACTTGTAACACACAGCCCCACTCTGCCATCAGGAGACTCTGGCCTACCTGACTTGTAATACCCAACCCCCATCTGCCATGAGACCCTGGCCTACCTGACTTGTAATACCCAACCCCCCTCTGCCATGAGACCCTGGCCTACCTGACTTGTAACACACAGCCCCACTCTGCCATCAGGAGGCTCTAGCCTACCTGACTTGTAATACCCAACCCCACACTGCCATCAGGAGACTCTAGCCTACCTGACTTGTAACACCCAGCGCCCCCTCTGCCATTAGGAGACTCTAACCTACCTGACTTGTAACACCCAGCCCCCCTTTGCCATTAGGAGACTCTAGCCTACCTGACTTGTAACACCCAGCCCCCCTCTGCCATCAGGAAACTCTAACCTACCTGACTTGTAACACCCAGCCCCCCTTTGCCATTAGGAGACTCTAGCCTACCTGACTTGTAACACCCAGGCCCTTTCTGCCATCAGGGGACTTTAGCCTACCTGACTTGTAACACACACACACCCCTCCCCTCTACCATCAGGAGACCCTAGCCTACCTGACTTGTAATACCCAAGCCCCCTCTGCCATGAGGAGACCCTGGCCTACCTGACTTGTAATACCCAACCCCCCTCTGCCATCCGGAGACTCTAGCCTACCTGACTTGTAACACCCAGCCCCCCTCTGCCATCAGTAAACTCTAACCTACCTGCCTTGTAACACCCAGCCCCCCTCTGCCATTAGGAGACTCTAGCCTACCTGACTTGTAACACACACACACACACACACCCCTCCCCTCTACCATCAGGAGACCCTAGCCTACCTGACTTGTAATATCCAATCCCCCTCTGCCATCAGGAGACCCTGGCCTACCTGACTTGTAATACCCAGCCCCCCTCTGCCATGAGGAGACCCTGGCCTACCTGACTTGTAACACCCAGCCCCCTCTGCCACCTGACTTGTAATACCTAAGAGGAGACCCTGGCCTACCTGACTTGTAACACCCAGCCCCCCTCAGCCATGAGGAACCCTGGCCTACCTGCCTTGTAACACCCAGCCCCCCTCTGCCATGAGGAGACCCTGGCCTACCTGACTCGGTTGTCTGTGAGCTGCTTCGTGATCTGGCAATACACCTCATCTCGCAGGATTTCCTGCAACAAATCAGCATAGCTCTGTAGAATAATACCTCAAACTTTCAGACATCACCAGCTGTATTTGATGTTATCAATTCATTTTGAGATATAGATATCATAAGTGTCATTTACTGTTACTGTCATGGTCAGGTAATTATAAGTCGTGAGAGCCATTAAAAAGACACCAGTAAATATGTTATCATATAAAGCTGAATTTGGGATATTAACAGATTTTGTTAGATTAATTAACGATATATAAGAACAAATCAATAAATTGTATATATTCTAGTAAACAAGAGTTTAAAATTGAATAAATTGTTTATAAATCGTATATTTATACGAAAACAAGAGTTTTATGAATAATTACTTTATTGAACTTGATCACTTACGTTTCTGAGTGGAGGTTCAAATATGGCATCAGTGATTTCATTGGAGTTCCTACTCCTCTTGGATGGATGGTCACCCATGTACTTTAGGATAGGTGCTGGGGTTAAGGAAAAACATGCACACCATACACTTCATAATCTACATTTCACTGTTATTTTGTCGAGGCAACTGTAAATAGAGAAATATGCACATCTTTGAGGACAGAGGACAGTATTCCCCAGTACTCCCCGGACTGTGCTCCCTGAATAACGTAACAGAAGTCTGTGTGTTGCCTAATGTGTTACTGAGGATTGTGTTGAATGATGTGTGACAGAGGTCTGTGTGTTGCCTGATGTATTACTGGGGATTGTGTTAAATGATGTGTGACAGAGGAGTGTCTGTTGCCTTATGTATTACTAAGGATTGTGTTGAATGATGTGTGACAGAGCAGTGTGTGTTGCCTGATGTGTTATTGAGGATTGTGTTGAATGATGTGTGACAGAGGTGTCTGTGTTGCCTGATGTGTTACTGAGGATTGTGTTGAATGATGTGTAACAGAGGAGTGTCTGTTGCCTGATGTGTTACTGAGGATTGTGTTGAATGATGTTTGACAGAGGTGTCTGTGTTGCCTGATGTGTTACTGAGGATTGTGTTGAATGATGTTTGACAGAGGAGTGTGTGTTGCCTGATGTGTTACTGAGGATTGTGTTGAATGATGTGTGACAGAGGAGTGTGTGTGCTGCCTGATGTGTTACCTGATGTGTTTGAATTGTGTTGATGTGTTGACAGAGGTGTCTGTGCTGCCTGATGTGTTACTGAGTATTGTGTTGAATGATGTTTGACAGAGGAGTGTGTGTTGCCTGATGTGTTACTGAGGATTGTGTTGAATGATGTGTGACAGAGGAGTGTGTGTTGCCTGATGTGTTATTGAGGATTGTGTTGAATGATGTGTGACAGAGGAGTGTCTGTTGCCTGATGTGTTACTGAGGATTGTGTTGAATGGTGTTTGACAGAGGAGAGTCTGTTGCCTGATGTGTTACTGCGGATTGTGTTGAATGATGTGTGACAGAGGTGCCTGTGTTGCCTAATGTGTTACTGAGGATTGTGTTGAATGATGTGTGAAAGAGGAGTGTCTGTTGCCTGATGTGTTACTGAGGATTGTGTTGAATGATGTTTGACAGAGGAGCGTCTGTTGCCTGATGTGTTACTGCGGATTGTGTTGAATGATGTGTGACAGAGGTGTCTGTGTTGCCTGATGTGTTACTGCGGATTGTGTTGAATGATGTTTGACAGAGGAGTGTGTGTTGCCTAATGTGTAACTGAGGATTGTGCTGAATGATGTGCGACAGAGGTGTCTGTGTTGCCTGATGTGTTACTGAGGATTGTGTTGAATGATGTGTGACAGAGGAGTGTCTGTTGCCTAATGTGTTACTGAGGGTTGTGTTGAATGGTGTTTGACAGAGGAGTGCCTGTTGCCTGATGTGTTACTGCGGATTGTGTTGAATGATGTGTGACAGAGGTGTCTGTGTTGCCTGATGTGTTACTGAGGATTGTGTTGAATGATGTGTGACATAGGAGTGTCTGTTGCCTGATGTGTTACTGCGGATTGTGTTGAATGATGTGTGACAGAGGTGTCTGTGCTGCCTGGTGTGTTACTGAGGTTTATGTTGAATGATGAGTGATATAGGACTGTTGAATGTGTGACAGGAGTGTCTGTTGTCTCATGTGTTACTGAGTATTGTGTTGAATGTGTGACAGAGGTCTGTGTGTTGCCTGATGTATTACTGGGGATTGTGTTGAATGATGTGTGACAGAGGAGTGTCTGTTGCCTGATGTGTTACTGAGGATTGTGTTGAATGATGTGTGACAGAGGAGAGTGGGTTGCCTGATGTGTTACTGAAGATTGTGTTGAATGATGTTTGACATACGAGTGTGTGTTGCCTGATGTGTTACTGAGGATTGTGTTGAATGATGTTTGACAGAGGTGTCTGTGTTGCCTGATGTGTTACTGAGGATTCTGTCGAATGATGTGTGAAAGAGGAGTGTATGATGCCTGATGTGTTACTGAGGATTGTGTTGAATGATGTTTGACAGAGGAGTGTGTGTTGCCTGATGTCTTACTGCGGATTGTGTTGAATGATGTGTGACAGAGGTGCCTGTGTTGCCTGATGTGTTACTGAGGATTGTGTTGAATGATGTGTGAAAGAGGAGCGTCTGTTGCCTGATGTGTTACTGAGGATTGTGTTGAATGATGTTTGACAGAGGAGTGTGTGTTGCCTGATGTGTTACTGAGGATTGTGTTGAATGATGTGTGACAGAGGAGTGTCTGTGCTGCCTGATGTGTTACTGAGGATTCTGTTGAATGATGTTTGACAGAGGTGTCTGTGTTGCCTGATGTGTTACTGAGTATTGTGTTGAATGATGTTTGACAGAGGAGTGTGTGTTGCCTGATGTGTTACTGAGGATTGTGTTGAATGATGTGTGACAGAGGAGTGTGTGTTGCCTAATGTGTTACTGAGGATTGTGTTGAATGGTGTTTGACAGAGGAGTGTCTGTTGCCTGATGTGTTACTGCGGATTGTGTTGAATGATGTGTGACAGAGGTGTCTGTGTTGCCTGATGTGTTACTGAGGATTGTGTTGAATGATGTGTGACATAGGAGTGTGTGTTGCCTGATGTGTTACTGAGGATTGTGTCGAATGATGTTTGACAGAGGTGTCTTTGTTGCCTGATGTGTTACTGAGGATTGTGTTGAATGATGTGTGACAGAGGAGTGTATGATGCCTGATGTGTTACTGAGGTTTGTGTTGAATGATGTGTGACATAGGAGTGTGTGTTGCCTGATGTGTTACTGAGGATTGTGTTAAATGATGTGTGACATAGGACTCTGTTGAATGTTTGACAGAGGAGGGTCTGTTGCCTTATGCGTTACTGAGTATTGTGTTGAATGATGTGTGACAGAGGTCTGTGTGTTGCCTGATGTATTACTGGGGATTGTGTTAAATGATGTGTTACAGAGGAATGTGTGCTGCCTTATGTATTACTAAGGATTGTGTTGAATGATGTGTGACAGAGGAGTGTGTGTTGCCTGATGTGTTACTGAGGATTGTGTTGAATGATGAGTGATATAGGACTGTTGAATGTGTGACAGGAGTGTCTGTTGCCTTATGTGTTACTGAGTATTGTGTTGAATGTGTGACAGAGGTCTGTGTGTTGCCTGATGTATTACTGGGGATTGTGTTGAATGATGTGTGACAGAGGAGTGTCTGTTGCCTTATGTGTTACTGAGGATTGTGTTGAATGATGTGTGACAGAGGAGAGTGTGTTGCCTGATGTGTTACTGAGGTTTGTGTTGAATGATGTGTGACATAGGAGTGTGTGTTGCCTGATGTGTTACTGAGGATTGTGTTGAATGATGTTTGACAGAGGTGTCTGTGTTGCCTGATGTGTTACTGAGGATTGTGTCGAATGATGTGTGAAAGAGGAGTGTATGATGCCTGATGTGTTACTGAGGATTGTGTTGAATGATGTGTGACATAGGAGTGTGTGTTGCCTGATGTGTTACTGAGGATTGTGTTGAATGATGTGTGACATAGGACTCTGTTGAATGTTTGACAGAGGAGGGTCTGTTGCCTTATGCGTTACTGAGTATTGTGTTGAATGATGTGTGACAGAGGTCTGTGTGTTGCCTGATGTATTACTGGGGATTGTGTTAAATGATGTGTTACAGAGGAATGTGTGCTGCCTTATGTATTACTAAGGATTGTGTTGAATGATGTGTGACAGAGGTGTGTGTGTTGCCTGATGTGTTACTGAGGATTGTGTTGAATGATGAGTGATATAGGACTGTTGAATGTGTGACAGGAGTGTCTGTTGCCTTATGTGTTACTGAGTATTGTGTTGAATGTGTGACAGAGGTCTGTGTGTTGCCTGATGTATTACTGGGGATTGTGTTGAATGATGTGTGACAGAGGAGTGTCTGTTGCCTTATGTGTTACTGAGGATTGTGTTGAATGATGTGTGACAGAGGAGAGTGTGTTGCCTGATGTGTTACTGAGGTTTGTGTTGAATGATGTGTGACATAGGAGTGTGTGTTGCCTGATGTGTTACTGAGGATTGTGTTGAATGATGTTTGACAGAGGTGTCTGTGTTGCCTGATGTGTTACTGAGGATTCTGTTGAATGATGATGTGAAAGAGGAGTGTATGATGCCTGATGTGTTACTGAGGAGGTGTGTGTGTTGCCTGATGTGTTTGTGTTGAATGATGTGTGACAGAGGTGTCTGTTGCCTGATGTGTTACTGAGGATTGTGTTGAATGATGTTTGACAGAGGTGTCTGTGTTGCCTGATGTGTTACTGAGGATTGTGTTGAATGATGTGTGACAGAGGAGTGTGTGTTGCCTGATGTGTTACTGAGGATTGTGTTGAATGATGTGTGACAGAGGTGTCTGTGTTGCCTGATGTGTTACTGAGGATTGTGTTGAATGATGTGTGACAGAGGAGTGTGTGTTGCCTGATGTGTTACTGAGGATTGTGTTGAATGATGTTTGACAGAGGTGTCTGTGTTGCCTGATGTGTTACTGAGGATTGTGTTGAATGATGTGTGACATAGGAGTGTGTGTTGCCTGATGTGTTACTGAGGATTGTGTCGAATGATGTTTGACAGAGGTGTCTTTGTTGCCTGATGTGTTACTGAGGATTGTGTTGAATGATGTGTGACAGAGGAGTGTGTGTTGTTACTGAGTAAATTGCCTGATGTGTTACTGAGGATTGTGTTGAATGATGTGTGACATAGGACTCTGTTGAATGTTTGACAGAGGAGGGTCTGTTGCCTTATGCGTTACTGAGTATTGTGTTGAATGATGTGTGACAGAGGTCTGTGTGTTGCCTGATGTATTACTGGGGATTGTGTTAAATGATGTGTTACAGAGGAATGTGTGCTGCCTTATATGTATTACTAAGGATTGTGTTGAATGATGTGTGACAGAGGAGTGTGTGTTGCCTGATGTGTTACTGAGGATTGTGTTGAATGATGAGTGATATAGGACTGTTGAATGTGTGACAGGAGTGTCTGTTGCCTTATGTGTTACTGAGTATTGTGTTGAATGTGTGACAGAGGTCTGTGTGTTGCCTGA